CAGCAACCGCTGGTGCTGCTGCTGCTGCTGCTGCTGCTGCTGCTGCTGCTGCTGCTGCTGCTGTCGCAGCAGCAACAGCCAAAGTGCTGAACCCTAATACCCCAAACCCTCAGGGGTATAGGGGGGCCTTCTTTGAGTGAAGTGTATACTCCAGCACAATTATGAAAATATTATTTTAATCGTCTGTTTAAAACTCTCGCGATGTCTTTATACAAACTGCAGCAGTATATCTGCTCTTGCTGCTGCTGCTGCTGCTGCTGCTGCTGTTGCTACTGTTTCTGCTAATTTTGCTGCTGCTGCGGTTGTTGCTGCTGTTTCTGCTGCTTCTGCTGCTGCTGCTGCTGCTGCTGCTCGTGCTGCTGCTGCTTTTGCTGCTCCTGCTGCTTCTGCTGCTGTTTTTGCTGCTGCAAGTTTTGTGTTGTGGTGCTGGTGAAGTAAATGCAAGAAAACAGAAATGCGTGTACGGGCTCTGCTGCTGCATGCAGCTATGCTGCTGCTGCTGCTGCTGCTGTTGCTGCTGCATGCAGAAGTTCTGCTGCTGCTGCTGCTGTTGCTGCTACAGCCGTTGCTGCAGCACCTGAGCAGCAGAAGGAAGCAATCTTCCTCTTCCTGCTGCTTCGTCCGCCGTCGATGCTGCTGCCTTAGCGATTGCTGTTGCTGCTGCTGCTGCTGCATCTGTTGCTGCTGCATCTGCTGCAGCAACAGCTGGGTGCTTCTGCTTTTTTTTGTTTGGCTTTTTATTTTTCTGTCTTTGTTTTGTTTTCTTTTCTCTATCGGCTATAAATATATATATATATATATACATATATATATATATATTTATAATTATAATTATATTTATATGTATATAAATATATATATTTATATTTATCGTTAATCGATAGTTACTTATACATATACATATATATATTTATACTTATATTAATATTTATATTAATATTAATATTTATTATTTATATTTATATTTATATTTATATTTATTATTTATAATTATAATTATTTATATGCATATATATGTTAGTCTTTTGTTTATTTTTGTTTGCTGCGAACCCCAAAGAAGGAGACGAAAGACAACAGAGACAAATACAGCTTCATCGAACACAAAGCTGCAGCAAAGAAAGCAGCTAGCTGCAGCAAAGAAAGCAGCTAGCTGCAGCAAAGAAAGCAGCTAGCTGCAGCAAAAAGAAAGCAGCCAACTGCAGCAGTAAAGGCAGCTAGCTGCAGCAGTAAAAGCAGCTAGCTGCAACAGCTAGCTACAGTAGCTAGCTGCAACAGCTAGCTACAGCAGCTAGCTGCGACAGTAAAAGCAGCTAGATGAAGCAGTAAAAGCAGCTAGCTGCAGCAGTAAAAGCAGCTAGCTGCAGCAGCTAGCTGCAGTGGTTGACTGCAGCAGCAAAAGCAGCTGACTGCAGCAGAAGTAGCTAGCTGCAGCAGATAGGTGCAGCAGATAGCTGCAGCAGAAGTAGATAGCTGCAGCGGAAGTAGCTAGCTGCAGCAGCTAGCTGCAGCTGCAGCAAAGCTGCAAGAGCAGCGTAGTAATTGCAGAAGGCTTGAGCTTGCTCTAGACAGCAGCAGCAGCAGCAGAACATATGGAGACAAAAATAATTTCTCTGAGAGCTGCTGCTGCAGCAGGTGGAGCTGCTGCAGCAAGTGGTGCTGCTGCAGCAAATGCTGCTGCGGCAGCAATAAATGCAGCAAAAGCTGCCGCTGTTGTGGCTGCTGCTGCTGTTGCTGCTGCTGCTTTTGCAGCTGCTGCTGTTGCTTCTTCTTCCAGCGACAGGGAAGTGTTTAAATGCTGCATTTCCAGATGCTGCTGCTGCTGCTGCTGTCACAACCACAAGGCCGCCTGAATTTGAGTGAACAGCAGCAAAGAAGACACAGTAGAGCAGCAGCAGCAGCAGCAGCAGCTCCTGCTGCTGCTGCGGTTTCACCGGCAGCAGCAGCACGAGCAGCAGCAACACTGCCAGGGCAGGAGAAGCAAGAGCATCAGCAGCATTTGCATAATGCTGCAGCAGCAGCAGGTGCAGCAGGTGCAGCAGATATACTATAATTGCGTTTGCTGCTGCAGCTGGTTGGCGAGCTGCTGCAGCAAACGCTGCAAATTGCTTAAGCCGAAGAGATATCCCTCATCTCTGAGGTGTACAGACAGCAGAGACACATGCGCGAAATCAACCATATAAACCGATAAAGAGTTAACAACAGCATCCTCAGCACTCAGCAAGCAGCACCACTCCCCGCTGCTGCTGCTGCTGCTGCTGCTGCTGTTGCTGTTGCTGCTGCTGCTGCTGCTGCTGCTG